ATTTCTTGTCTGATTCCTGAACAAACAAATATATTCACATAATGTTGGTTGTTTAAATACAGCCAGTGCATGTCTTTAATTATGAAGACATTGACTACGACTCCATAACATTTTAGCTAAAAAAAAATTACAGGAGTAGAATTGAACTTATCGGTTAATATTTTTTCTTATAACAAACTTAACTTGAAGAATCAAGATTTCTTTATGTCGATTGTATATCATGATGGATTTTCTAATCCAAAAATTACCTTCGATTTCTTAAATTTGAATTCGTTCTTAAGAAACAGAATGAGTCTCTTGTTACTATACGTTTCCATATGACTTTTTTTCAATTGTTCTTCTGATAACTGAATGATGGATTTCGACCGACATCGGAGAAATCCCTCAGATACAAGGAAGAGGAAACGGTTCTGGATGACAACAGGAAATAAAGGACTAGAGGATCCGAGTTATGAACTGTCCTCGGAGGAACACCTGACAGCTGAGGGAAATGACAGATCATCTTCAGGGCGTTTATCTCCGAGCCTATAGGAGCCACCGACCAAAACGAAATAATCTCCCTCGGGAAATCCAGACAATGTGTTCGATTATGACAAACCTCCTGGATATGCTGTAAAGATAAACATGTGAAGGAAAAATTTATAAATTTTCTATTATTAACTATCTACAGCAACCAATTAAAAGTGGACAACGCAACTATAAACTCTAGTTATTTTTTGAAATGTTTCTACAGATAAAATTTATTACTAAGCGAAATGTCTCCGAAAGTCATAATTATTTTTTTATTATCCTATAAGTAACTTGAGTGAGGAAAGATGACCTTGTGAAATTATATTTTGACAGAATAAAATTCAAAATATTTATCACAAAATATATTATGTTTAAAACATTATTAGAAAAAACATTAATCCTTCAAACAGCATAAACTAACTGACCTTTGTTTCACTAATTCAACCTTAGCTAGGAGAGGAAGTCACATTACATAAGTACTGAAAATACATAATACTTCATATTTTATCCACCAAATACAGATAAAAAATACTTTGTTATTTGGCAATGATTACTTCCAATTAACAACCATTGAATTTATATGTTGTATTATCAAACTGCATTTTTAGAAGTTTACGTTTCGGGATATTTACTCCCATCTTCAGAAACACAATCCCAATAATCTTTTGGATTATTGGGATTGTGTTTCTGAAGATGTGTTTCTGAAGATGAGCCCGCGCGAGGAATCTTTTGGATACATGGCTTAAATCTAATGTGCTCCATCGTCAGGCTCTCAATCAAGTTATATCAGTAACATCCAGAGCAACATATTGCTTTTAGACTAATTATTGGGTGTCTCTAAAAATTAGTAGATATTATGTTACTCGTAAATAATAGTTCATATACCTACTATTGAATATATTGAATATATATATATATATATTCAGTACTATTAAAGGAAAGCAATGTTTTCCAAAAACCACTACTTAATTAATTATTTTAAATTAATTATAACCATTAATTATTTTAATTAAGGGTACCCACTTTATAGAGGCTAGATGTGCCCCAGGAAGATCTACCTACCCAGGGTCGCCCCACGGCCAATGAAGCAGAATAAATACTTGTTTGCCATGAGCCAGGATTCGAACCTGGGACCTTAAGTATTGTAAGCTCAGTATCCTACCACTGAGCTAACTCACTCCCTAAATATATTGTCAAAGTTTTTGTATAAATTTAATTAAAGATTTTTTTTATTTGCTCAGTATTATAACAATCTGTTACACGGACAATAATTTAAGGGAGCTAAGAACACATTCACACCATAAAATTAAAGAGTTAAATACATATTCTGTCAAAATGTTCCTAATGCCTAACGTACGCTTTTCCAAATTCACAACAGTTCATCTACTAATTGTCAAATTAATGACATGTGTGGATTTAGATCTGGAGAGAAAAAAAAACACTTTAAAATAACCAATATATTAAAATATGTTTTTTAGAATAGAATACAATAGAAAATAACTTTATTCTGGAACATAGTCCCTTTGGAATAACAGAATAGTACGAAATAAAAATATTACATCTGGCCTAAATAAATACAAAAATAAAAAGAAAGAGAGAAAAAAGTAAAGAAACATTAGTTAAACATGCAATATACAAAACAAATGTACCTGAATACGGAACACTTAAAACTATGACAAGACACTTAAAATCATGAGTGGTAAAACATTATACTTATGTTGTCATTCAATTTTTTTTTCTTTGGAACTCTTGATGATCCATACCAGAAAACTTTTTTTTAAATCTTATTTTATTGAGTAATAATACATTTTGACACAATTAATGGTATTGAGTATTAAAACTGTTAGACTCCTCTAAACGATATATATGGTGTGAATGTGTTCATATATCACTATAATTATTGTCCACGTGACAGATTATTATATTTCTAAATAAATAAATTTAAAAAAGAACATATATACAATAACAAAAAAAGAGAAAAATCATAAAAAGAGAAAATAATAAGAAAACTTAAATCTATTTTAACCACATAACTCCAATCTCTGAATTCTATATATAAAAAGATATTTGAAAGTATATAGGTATCTCTGATATATAAATAATTAATTTTTTTACTATGTAGTAAAAACTATAGGAATAAAAATTTATCTATTATTTAACCATTCTATTTTATTTATTATTTGATTATTATCATTCAGGATGTGAACAATGTTTGGCTGTTCCTTGGAATTTAGAGTAACAACTAAATTGATTTTAAAAACAGAATTTCGAAAAAAAAAAATTAGTTGTTCCTCTGGACCTTTCTACATTGCACAAATTGCATGTTATGCTAGATTAGAGTTTTGATGTGTTTCTTGTTGAATGTACAACACTTCTAACGGTTTGATGCATCTATGTTTTTCTGTGAGAAAAATAACAAACAAGAAAAACATGTATTATAAATATATGCGACTGTGACGAAAATAATGTTGCGTGTACAGATTTTATGTTTTGCGAACCGGACCAGTTTTAGAAGAATAGCTTTTGTATGTATTTTTTATGCTGTGTGTTGTTTCTAAATGACTTTGAAAAAAAAAATGAGAAAATGAAAGAATGAAATTTTAGTTTATTTAGTTACATTTATATTAATTTTTCTTCTACATTTTGTTTGCATTAGCAAAACATTCATTTTCCAGTGCTGCAAATGGTTCGTCAAAGCTACTAGATGTGTGTTGGTTTGTGATTTGTTAAGATTTTATAAACATATTTAATTTTTAAAAATATACAACTTTAAAAAGCAACTAGTAAATATTGTAAAACCATTTCATGGATAACTTTTAATTATGGTTGTAAAATTTAAACGTCTCAAGAAATGGATACAAGAGTTCACAAACATAGTTAATTTTAGAATGCATGCTTTAATTTTTTTTTAAACTTTTTTACTGTTTGTCGTATAACAGATTTTTGATAAATTTTAACTAAACAACAACATAAACAGTATAATTAATTATATTTATGTAGTGCATGGGAAATAAAATTCAAATATTAATAATTTAAATTATACATAAAAATCTGTCATACTCCAGAACTTAATTCAGTGTTCAATATGTTTTCATTTATTAATTTTTACTTTTTTATTAATTGTTATTTTTAATAAGTACTGAAATTAAACTCCTTTAACAATTTTATAGTAATTGTCTGTCTAAAGGGGTTTCATTTTACAGATTTTTTTTGTTTTTCATTCCTTTACTATGCATTTAAAGCACAAATGTTATTGTGTAATAATTTATTTAGATGTAAAAGTCGTATGGACCCATGCTTTTAAAAGGAAATCCACCATCTTTCTTATTGCATATAACGAAATTTTATTTGTATGCTTCATTAAAGTGTTAAAAAAAAATGTCTTCCTGATCTAACTTCAATGTGCATACATACATCAATGTGCATGTACATTGGAATGCCGTTTTCTATCCGTACTAAAAATATTTGTAGTACGTGTTATAGTTATTCTTGGTCACCAACAATCAAGGATATCTCGGAAAAAGTCCGGTTTCCCTCAGAAATATGACCCTTTATGATAGTTTGGCATTATACATTTTGAGATGTGCAGTATCGTATTCGGTAAAATGTACCTTCTTCTCTTCTCCACATTATTGTGCTTATGAACAATTTGTTCTAATCGTTTTTCTTTGTTTTCTTTTTTTTTTCTTTTTTTATCGATTTTCTTATGACTCGTGCGGTATGTGGGTTCTTCCCATTTTTAGGTAAAATAGGTACCCAGATAAAGAATACATTTTGTACTCCATTTGGTGTACACGTTTGATGTTTCACTAATTAGTGGCCTATTTTCCTAATTTGGCAGGGTTTATCAATCACCATGATAGTCCTGGATTCTGTTGCAATGAAAATATTATTTTATTTGAACTTTTTATTCAATAAAGTCTTTCAGGGCTGGGATTTCTTCAGTAAAAATGTAACAGTCGTCTGGTAAACTTAACAAAAGTTTGTGTTTATTGACATTGTTTAAAGTAGAAAATAATTACCTTTCAAAGCCGCAGTTATTTACCGTAAAATAGGTTGACAATGTTCCATTTTTTTTTCTGGCTCCTCCCCTTCCTCGCCTTTAGGGTATGTGGGCGGGGATTTAAAAGACTCTCCCGGCACCGGGACGCGAACTCGTGACTATTTTAAATCTATTGTATCATAGAACAGGTTGCCAGGCAACGGCGGTGCTGTGCACACACGTTAGCCCGTTTGGCCACCCCGCCCAGCCATATAGGTTGACTTTGGTAAAATGTAGATATTTTAATTAAAATGTTTCTGGTGATTTTGAAAGATACTAACTGCTTGAGCGGAAAGAAAAGTATATCCCGATACTTTTTAGACTGCCGGAAACATTTTAATTTAAACATCTAAATCTTACCAAAGCGACCCAATACATGTAATGTTGCTACGTCGTTTTACGAAACTTATCTTCCTTGGGAACGACATTTTTTTTTTTTATATTACTTTTGCTCCCTCACTAGCGAAGGTATGAAAGATGGTTGGTTTCCTCTTGGAAGATGTGACGGGGGTTCTGAGGGATAGTGGGGGGGTTGCAGCGGCACAGGCCAACATCTGGGGTCCGGAGGACGTCTACGTGAAGAAGGGGTCCACGATCAGCCTCACCTGCACAGTCAACGTCCACTCCACCCCGCCCAGCTCGGTCCACTGGTACCAGGGCTCCTCCGTCGTCGACTTCGACTCTCCCAGGGGCGGCATCTCCTTGGAGACGGAGAAGACTGCTTCGGGAACCACCTCCAAGCTCCTCGTCACAAAGGCATCCCTCACCGACTCAGGCAACTACACTTGTGTACCATCCAACGCTAACCCCGCCAGTGTCTACGTCCATGTCCTTAACGGTGAGTTGGAGTATGGTTTGTAACTTCTAAGGTACACTTAGATAAGACATCTTATAGGTAAATAATGTAATAATGATCTGAACCATGATATTTTAACCTTTTTTTTTTTTAGCATATAGTCTAAAGTACTGTATTAGTAAAAATAATGATAATTAACTCTATCAAACTATTAGTTTTAATTTTAAGTTAACGTAAGTTTTTAGTACTAAGGCCACTGTCATTCTTCACCAAGAAGTGAAGAAGTTTGTATTTCATTATTATTATAGCCTATACCCTTTTATGGCTTTTTTCTTATGAGAGTTTAGGCTACTTTTATTTTTTATGATCTTGGAGGACTTTAGGATTGTTTGGATTAATGTTCAGTTTGTGTTTTGGGGGAAACTGGGGCTATCCTATCGGAATATATATATCTAAGTCCGTAATTTGCTATGGCATAATTTGCAAGATATGATTTTTTTTTCTTCGACTTTTCTCTTTAACATTTTTTCTTTGTCGGTTTATAATTTGTCTCTCTCGGAGTTGTACCCTGATTATTATTAGGTGCTCCACTTTATGTAGCTGCTTTATCCCTCTTGTCTTTTCTGTATTAAAAATGTTTGTACGTAAAAAAGAATTTTTAATTGTATCAGGAATTTTTGTTATTTTCAGTTTGAACTTAACCATTTTTTATGTTTATTTTTTGGTTGGTTAGACTTAAAAAAATTTATATCAATCGACTTTTATACCCTCCAGATATGTTAAGGAGGAGCGGGGTTATTAAAGCCTTCTAGTTCCCACTATCCCCTACGCATTCCCATTTTTTTTTTTTTTTTTTTTTATCTATCTAAAAAGTTCGAAAACCTACTACAAAAAAAAAATGGTAATAGATTTGTTTTAGTTTAGAAATTAGGATTTTTATCGGTACAATGTTGTTCTTAAATACAAAAATATAATATAAATTGTAGTGAAGTATCAATATTCGCAGGTTCCTGAAAAAATCAAATCCAAAAAAGATTGAGGAAAAAAAAAGTGTTGACATATTTTTTTTCAACTGTTCAAATTATGTACCTGTTAGGAAATGATAGTTCTAGCGACATCTCTGATACCATCTTCGCAAATGACTATCCAGTTATTCAACCATTAAGGGTATGTTTTAGAAATTCTGTTTAATGTTTGTTACTGTACTTGTATTGGTAGTTGGGATAGCTTTTAACAGAATAGATAATACGGAAAATAGTATGTTATTAAATATATTTTCGGAAAAGGGGAATTGCTTTATAGTACAATCACCTAGTTCTTTATATAGTCACACATTTAGGTTTTGTTCAGCTACACTGATGAAATTTATCCAATTATAAAACGTATTTTTGTTTTCGTTCGCTTGCTTTCTGAATCTTAAAATATAATTAATATTACCTTATATAACACTGTTATATAATATTGGATGTTTCAGATGTCTTTCGAAATGATACAGTGATATGGGTTTGTTTAACGTTCTTTTTTATTTTATTATTATTTTTTTTTTTTGTATTTACTAAATTTCCAGTATGTTTCTGTTTACGTCATGTTTTAACCGTATTGTATTGTATTGAGTTTGCTGGAGTTGGCCGTGGCAATATATATAAATATTGAATGTTGCGGAGCCCACCAGAGGCAGTATGTGCCCCCAGGGCCTACCCCATACCTCGAGGGGAATGAAGTTAGGGATCAAAATGTTTTAATTGTGAAAGGAAAGAGAATAATGGGCCGAGTGTAAATATCTATCGGGCATTGGCGGTAAATCTCCCGGATCCAGGCTGGCTTCCCCTTCCCCACGGGACACGGCCCTTTCAATATACCCCCCGTTCTCTTTATATATTTCCTGATGCAGTAGGCAGTGTTAATGTTCCAGCCGTTGTGGCGTTTCCGCTCTCCCTGTCAGCTCAATGGACGCTACTGACTTCCGCTACGAGAGCCCTAACTGTTGGAAGGAGGAATTTGAAACTTCTTTTATTGTTAGCCGAATATTGACTATAGTAAGGTAAAACACTTTGGTTAGTCAATAAGCTGTTCTTGGAAACCTATCAATTTAACTCTCTTGTAGCAACTGTCAACATTTATATCCTACCAAATGATGTGATGAACCAATGTGTACTAGGCCTTCCTCCTCAATTAATGTTGAATTACTCAGAATTCTGTAGTCTTTCTCACTATGGATGTCAATAAGGAACTTAAGATTAAAGCGACTTATCTAAACAAGAAGAGTACTTTATGTAAACCGAACGATCCCTTGAAGCATAGGCATTGCTCCAAACCAAATATTTGTTGAGTCATCGGGCGTGTAGTGATTGATTTGGTTTATCCACATTTCTCGTACTTGATTATTTTTCCCTGATTAATAATGCATAAATAACTATAAATAGGCAATACAACATAAATATTTTACAGCAGGATTTTCTCACGGCAAACATGAATATTGATGTGGAAAAGACATTATTAATGCGGACTGGAGAAATAAACAAAAAGAAAAGAAGAAGAGCAGTGAGGGTAGTCAGCATTAATGACTTCAGACTTGAACAGCTTTAAACATTCATGTATCTCCTGTCTGAGATATCTCATGAGTCTGATTACCAATGGGGTCAGAAATAAGAAAAAATCACGTATGCGTAAAGTACTAACGCAAAAAGGACCAATGAAGAACTGCTTATAGATGGGAGAGGCATTTAGCTGAAGCAATCCATCGGGAAGCGTCTAGACAATTAACAATTAACAATATCAACTATATAAATAAAATTTATCACAGACGATCATGATGAAATACTAGAATATTTTTATCTTTTACAATCTAAGAAATATTAATTTAAACACTTCAGAGTAGGCTAGCTAAAGGTTCCAGGTTCGAATCCTGGCTTATGGCAGCCAGTGCCCTCCTTATTGCTCTGGGGCCAGGACAAAAAAATTTAACTAATCGCAGGCGAATGTTTGTATGTAAATTACGAAAGTATGTATTATTCTAAGCAAAATGGGCCTTGTCTGCCATTCTAGAAACGCTGCTTTCAAAAGTAGCTGCTGATTTAAAGAATATTAGGCCAGTAACTTGAGGACCGAAACGGGAAATCCATTGCGAAAAATGTGAGAAAGGTTTTTTTTTTTTTTTTTCAAACTTTAATATATAGGTTTAAATGTAAAAATGTAAAAAACAAAATTGCTAACACAGGCCACCAACGCAAAACTTTCTAAAGCCAAAAAAGTCAGAGTTTTTCGATATATATATTATTTTTTTTGATCTAGAATTCTTTAATGATGCATCAAAAAGAAAAATGTATTCTTTAATGAATTAAAGAACGTTGAATTGTGCGTAAAACGAGTACATAAATCTTATAATTTGGTTTTCCAGGTAAGGAATAAAACCACGGCCAATCAACGCTGATTTTAACCTAATTAGTCAAAAACGGAGAAAAATTACAATAAATGGCCCAGAAACTTGAAAATGAGTTCTTTAAGAGCAAAAACTTATAGAATAAGAGTAGTAGAGCATTAAATTTCGCATCCGCTGAATACTGAAATTTTTATTGCAGACCAATTATATATCTCGATCGAGGATTATTCATTTCTTTATGAAATTCGGTATATTTAGATACATTGTTTATCAAAATCCTTCACTGCTGAGAGTTGAAAAAGAGGCTTGTACTGCATCTAACATACTCTAAGCAAAACTAACTCTGTAGAATAGACACCTATACTTTTGAAATATTTAAAATCACATTTACCTTCATTACCAATTTCTAACCATCGGGAGGTTACCGATTTTGTTCGGGGTAAGTGATTTACATTAAAGTAGTTGGTATTCACTGGACGCAAAATTTGATGATCTCCAACTTTGATTCTATGGATTTTTCATAATAAGGATCTCATTTCCAAGTAGCAGAGCCATTTATAGTAATTTTTCCAGTTTTTCGACAGATTTGGTATGACAGGTTATGTACTCGCTCGATGCAAAATTGAACTTTCTTTAATTTATTAACGAAATCATTCGCTTTGATGGATTGTTTTGGAGTTATAGTTGAAAAAACAAAAAAATATAGAAACAAATCTGACATTTTTGGTTGTAAAAAGTTTTCTTTTTGTGGCTCGCTTTAGTAATTTTTTTTTTGACATGTTAAACCCATATATACAAGTTAAAAACATAAAAACTTTTTCGCAAAAAAACTTACATTTTTCGCAATGGATTTTCCGTTTCGATCCTCAAATTACTGGTCTAATATTATTTAAATCAACCGCTATTTAAAACAGCTGCTCTGGAACGGCAGAGAAGGTTCTTTTTACACAAAATTACATACACTTTCGTAATTTACAATCAAACTTTCGTCTGCGATGAGATCGATTTTCGGGCCCTGGCTCAAGGGCTATCGTAGGTATGAGACCACATGGAAGGCCAACAACAAGATAGATCGAATCAACAAAACTGCATGCAGATAACTGAAAAGAAATATCCCCAAAAAGGCAGAGATGTAGAAGAGGCTGGTTGAGTCGGCTAAAGATCAAAAAGGTCTTTAATGCCAACAGAAAAAAAAAATCTTGTCTCGTTTGTTGTCCGATGCCAATAAAATCGAGAATAGCACACAAAATAGAATTAATATAATTTTAGCCACCTTCGTACGGTTCACCTTCCTAAAATGATGATCCCATGAACTAGGCCACTGCACAAATAAAATGGAGGGGGGAGCGATTTAACCATTGATGAGGTAGTCTGAGGCAGGCGAGGACACCCTGAGAATACAGAAGAGCAGAAATCACGATTCCGTGATTCACGCATCATGTACCTTCTGCTGTTTGATTTCATCAAGAGCACCTGTTGCACTATCCCGAGGCACATCCGCTTCCTGTACCTCTGTTTATTTAGCTCTGCCTCGCCCACGTAGGGGTCCATGTACTTCAGCTATTTTCGTAAATAGATCGAGATAGTAATTAAAAACATAGCTGTCAATATTAGAGTGAAAACTTCTTTAGGCGCGTTTCGAACTTTTTTCTCGAGAGTGAAT